GGACAGTCTGTTATTAAAGGGAGATTTATTAAAGAGTAATTTTGCTAGAAATCACAAACGGTGATGTCATTCCTGCGAAGGCAGGAATCTCACCGAACGGTGCTGACTTTTAATTCTTTTATTTCTTCAATAGTATACCAATCTATTGCTAAATCTAGCATTTCAGGATTACTTTCTTTAATCAGATTTTCTTTCCACTCCCTTTTCCATAATTTCATTTGCTTTTCCTTTTCAATAGCGCCTGTTATATCTGGAAAGTCTTCATAGAATATTAAATCATAACATTGAAATCTATTACAAAATTTACTGCCAATACCTGCTTTGTGTTCTAATGTCCTACGTTCTATGCTATTAGTTACACCAATGTATAGCACGGTACGCAACTTATTTGACATGATATAGACATAGCCTGTTTTCAATGCTTATAACTTGGAAACGCTAGTGAGATTCCTGCCTTCGCAGGAATGACATTTACCTTTTTTCTTGTGATAGAATCTAACTTCCGGTATAGTTGAAAGGTGTAATAGCCTTCAACTCTGTTTTAATTTCTGCAGAAACATCAAGCCCATCAATAAAAGCATGCATGCTTTGCTGGGTAATTTTATCGTTGGTGCGGGTCAGCGCTTTTAATGCTTCGTATGGTTTTGGGTAGCCCTCACGGCGAAGTATAGTCTGCACCGCCTCAGCAACTACAGCCCAGTTACGTTCTAGATCAGCATTAATTGCATCCTCATTAAGCAACAGTTTGTTTAAGCCTTTTTGCAGCGATACAATAGCTACATAGCTGTGCGCAAATGGCACACCAAGGTTACGCAATACCGTGCTATCTGTAAGGTCGCGTTGCAGGCGCGATATTGGAAGTTTTGCCGCTAAATGCTCAAATAAGGCGTTGGCAATACCAAGGTTTCCTTCGGCATTTTCAAAGTCGATAGGGTTTACTTTATGCGGCATAGCTGATGAACCCACTTCGCCCTCTTTCAGTTTTTGTTTGAAGTAATCCATAGAGATATATGTCCACATATCGCGGCATAAATCTATAAGGATGGTGTTGATGCGTGAGCATGTATGGCAAATGGCTGCAAGGCTGTCGTAATGCTCTATTTGGGTAGTTGGGTACGAACGGTCAAGGCCCAGGGTGTTATCAATAAAGTTATCGGCAAAAGCATGCCAGTCGATATTAGGATAAGCTACTTTGTGCGCATTGAAATTGCCTGTAGCCCCGCCAAATTTAGCTGAGTGTAAGGCAGTTTCTAAATACGCAAACTGAACACTTAAACGCTCAAAAAACACATCAAGCTCTTTACCCAAACGGGTAGGCGATGCAGGTTGTCCGTGGGTGCGTGCCAGCATGGGAATGTCTTTCCATTGGTCGGCCAATTCACCTAAACGGTTTAGCAATTGCTCTTGTTGTAAATCAAATTCCTGCTCTAAGTATTCTTTTAAAGCCAGCGGAATAGCCGTGTTATTAATGTCTTGCGATGTTAACCCAAAATGGATAAATTCGGAAAACTGTTGCAGTCCTAATTGCTCAAACCTGCCTTTTATAAAGTACTCAACCGCTTTAACATCGTGGTTGGTAGTCTTTTCAATTTCTTTAATCTCAAGCGCGTTTGCTTCTGAAAAATTGGCAACAATAGCATCCAATTGCGCATACGCATTGTGCGGAAAATTGGCTAATTGTGGAAGCGGGATGTTGCAAAGGGCTTTAAAATATTCAATCTCTACACGCACCCTGTATTTCATAAGGGCCTCTTCAGAAAAGTAAGCAGTAAGGGGCTGTGCTATGTTCCAGTAGCGTCCGTCTATTGCCGATATAGCTTTTAATGGTGATATATTGCTCATTAGTTGTAACGGCGCTCGCGCCATTTAGATTGTTGGGGTGTGGTATTGGTATCAGCAGCCGCGGCAACAGGCTTTTGGCTGTGTATAGCGGCAGCTAAAAGTGCTGCCAGTGTTTCTTCTTCGGTATTGCCCTCTTTGGTTTGAAGATATTCGGGCTTAAAGTGGTCTTTTACAAAACCGGTATCAAACTTGCCCGATACAAAGGCATCGTGCTGTAATACAAATTTACAAAAGCCCAGGGTTGTTTCTACCCCGGCTACTTCGTAATCGTCAATAGCACGTATCATGCGCTCAATAGCCTCTGTACGGTCTTTGCCGTGGGCTATAAGCTTAGATATCATCGGGTCGTAGTAAATGGGTATATCCATGCCTTCTTCAAAGCCATCGTCAACCCTAACGCCCATACCAAACGGACGGCGGTAGCGGGTAAGTGTGCCAATATCAGGCAGGAAGTTATTTTGCGGGTCTTCGGCATACACACGTATCTCAATAGCGTGGCCGTTTATTTTCAGTTCTTCTTGGCTAAACGATAGCTTTTCGCCACGGGCAACGTTTATCTGCTCTTTCACAAGGTCAACACCCGATATCATTTCGGTAACAGGGTGCTCTACCTGCAGGCGGGTATTCATTTCTAAAAAGTAGAAGTTAAGCTTATCATCAACAATAAACTCTACCGTACCCGCATTGTAGTAATTACAGGCGCGTGCTACATCAACGGCACACTCACCCATAGCTTTGCGTATTTCGGGCGTTAAAACAGCGCTTGGGGCCTCTTCTACCACCTTTTGGTGGCGGCGTTGCACACTACAGTCGCGTTCAAATAAATACACGCTGTTGCCATGCTTATCGGCCATTACCTGTATTTCTATATGGCGGGGAGATAGTACATACTTCTCTATAAAAACAGAGCCATCACCAAAGGCCGATGTAGCCTCACTAACAGCAAGGTTCATCTGCTCCTCAAACTGGCTTGGCTCTTCTACCACGCGCATACCTTTGCCACCACCACCGGCAGAGGCTTTAATAAGGATTGGGTAACCAATTTCGTCTGATAGTTTCTTGGCTGCTTCTACATCTGTAATAGCCACATCTAAACCCGGTACTAAAGGAATGTTATAGGTTTTAACAGCGGCTTTAGCAGCCAGCTTGCTACCCATTACTTCCATAGCCTCAGGACTAGGGCCAATAAAGGTTATTCCGGCATCGGTAACCATACGGCAAAACTCAGCATTCTCAGAAAGAAAGCCATAGCCGGGGTGTATACCATCAACACCTAACGTTTTGCAGGCATCTATAATTTTTTGTTTGTTAAGGTAACTATCTGCAGATGCAGGGCCACCCAAACAAATTGCTTCGTCGGCGTATTTAACGTGTGGCGAGTTACGGTCGGCCGTAGAATACACGGCAACAGTTTTAATACCCATTTCGCGGCAAGAGCGCATAACGCGCAGGGCTATTTCGCCACGATTGGCAACAAGTATTTTTTTCATTGGTGCGAAGATAATGATTAGGGGCGAGTGGTTAGTGGCTAGTGGCTATGAAATTTATGAATAAAAAAAGGCGGTTCTTTGCAGAACCGCCTTTGTATAATGCTTTTTAAATACACTTAGCGTAGGGTAAACTTAACCGGCAGGTTATACTGTACACGTACAGCTTTACCGTTTTGTTTACCGGCTTTCCATGCCGGCATACCACCTACTACACGCAGAGCTTCGTTAGAGCAGTCTTTAGCACCCGGGCCGGTTAGGCCACGAAGTACACTTGGCTGGGTAATTCTACCGTTTTCGTCAACCACAAAGGTTATGTAAATAGTACCTTGTGTGTTAGCGTCGCGGGCCAGCTCAGGGTATTTAATGTTTTTACCTAAGTATTTTAAAAGGGCATCTTCGCCACCCGGAAACTCGGGCATTTGCTCTACCACCTGAAATACTTGTGGTGCAGCAGGCTCATCTACCACTTTTTTACCGTCGTTAGGATCGGGCAGGTCAATAAAATCTTCATCGCCCTGCTGCGTTTGGGTACTAACGTTGGTTTTAGATAAGTCTTCCTGTGGAGGAGGAAGGTCTTCATCCTTAATAGGTTCATCAACAATCTCAGGTTCAGTAAACTTCACCATGTCCACTTTCGGCGGTTCAATTTCTACCGGTGGTGGCGGAGGAGGAAGTTCCTGGTCCGGCGGCGCAACTTCAGCCAGCTCAACTTTAGCTTCTTTTTTAACTGCTTTTTCCTCGGTTAGCTTATTAATAAGTGCCGAGATAGCCGGGATAGCGGCTAAAAGAATTAAAATAGCAACGCCAATAGCTGTAGCAGTAACTATGCTGCGACCGTAGCTTGTGCGCATAAGGTACGCGCCATACGTTTTGTTGCGGTTCTCAAAGACAATGTCGTCGAGAGTTTCATTTGGGGCTATTGCACTCATTGTGTTTCTTTTTTAATAAGACGATGCACAACATTATAAAGTTACATAAAAAAATATGAACTTTTTTTATTGTGGGGCATTCTTCATTGCGTCAACCTCCCATGGAGCCGGTTTTACCAGCGCATAAGTAGCTGCATTACAAACGTTTAACTCGTCAAATACATCTACCAGGTTTTTGTAGGTAGATTTATTAGCCGGTTTGATTACGGCGAGTATGCCATAGGCATTTGCCCCTTTAATTGAGGCCTGCTTTGTACGCGAAACAACAGAGCTTAACGAGTCCTGAGGTAATTTACCCTCTTTAACTTGTTTTTCAAGTGCCCTGATCTCTTTGTTAAGCTTATCGTTTCTCTCCAGAAGTACTTTACGCAAACCATTGCGTCCGTATGTTGTACGGTTAATGGTTGGCACATCGTCTTTTTTATCTACACCCTCGTACCAAAACACTCGGTTATTCTCACCCAACAATATGTTGATGGTAAGCTTGGCCGGGAATTTGGTAATATTATCAGGTGTGGTTTCATCTTTTTTGGCCGGAACCGAAAGTTCCATAACCTGAGGCTCTTTAAGTGAGCTGGTAAGTACAAAGAAGGTTAATAAAAGGAAACCTAAGTCAACCATGGGGGTCATATCTACCCTACCGGCTGATTTTTTGGGCCTTTTCTTCTCGTGTTTACCGTGTCCACCTCCACCTTCGCCTAATTCTGCCATTTTCTTTTAATTATTTACAGTTAGACAATTATTCTGGTTTACCTTCAAAACCGGTTATTAAACGGTAGGTATTTGCTTTGTTATCGCGTAAACCTTCAATAACCTGGCTTATGTTTTCATAAGGGGTTTTATTGTCGGCTTTAATGGTAATAACAGGTTTAGCATTACCACCACCGTATGACAACAGCGATTCGTACATCCAATCCCTGAACTGGTTGTTAACAGAGTCTGCCGGTATACCTAAGTTAGGAAAACCTTGAAGAGTGCCATCAACGGCTAAAAACTCTTTCATTTTTCCCATAGGTGCACCAAACATGCCCATTTTACCAAATTTCTCAAGCTCTTCAGGAGTAAAATCAACTTTATATTTTACGCCCATTTGCTTAAGAATGGTTTGCCTGCGTTGTTCACCGTTTAAGTTTACAAACACCTGCCCTACCGGAGAAATTGTTATAGCAATAACATTTTCTTTAGGTACAGACTGTTCTGCAGTAGACGATGGAACCTCAACAGCAACAAGTTCTTCGGGTTTGAAGTTAGCCGCCAGCATGAAGAAGGTAACGAGTAGGAAGGCAAGGTCAACCATTGGCGTCATGTCAATGGATGGGCTGCTCTTCGGCATTTTTATCTTCGGCATATCTATATATTATTTAAGGCGGTAAAACCTATTAATACTATTTGTGTGAAGCAGCAAATGATTGTACAAGGCTAAAGCCTGCTTCGTCTATTTTATAGGTAAGGTTATCTATAGTAGTAGAGAAGTAGTTGTAAGATATAATAGCCAGTGTAGAAGAGATGATACCAATAGCGGTATTGATAAGGGCCTCAGAAATACCTGTTGCAAGTGCGGTAGAGTCACCACCACTGGTTTCAGATAGAGCCTGGAAGGCTTTAATCATACCAAGTACCGTACCGATAAGACCTACAAGAGTACCTAGTGATACGATGGTAGAGATAATTACCATGTTTTGCGATAGCATAGGTAACTCAAGAGCTGTAGCTTCTTCAAGTTCTTTTTGAAGAGAAAGCACTTTTTGGTCTTTATCTAAATGAGCTTCGGTGCTTAGTTCTTTGTAATGGATTAAGCCGGCTTTCATTACGTTAGCCAATGAACCTTTTTGAACGTCGCAAGCTGCAATAGCTTTGTCAATTTCGCCACGGTTAATAAGCGCTTGTAAATCGCGTACAAAAGTTTTGGTTGCTACTTTACCGCTAGCGCGTTTAATTGTGATAAAACGCTCGATAGAGAACGTTAATACAATCATAAAACAGGTCATAAGCAAAGGTACGATGATACCACCTTTGTGGATAATACCTAGCATATTACCTTTTAATGGGTGGTTTTCAGGGTTGCCTCCTTCAAAGTTAGCCGGGTCACCGAAAACAAAGGTGTAAATAGCTACTGCTATACCTAGTTCTACTACAATTACCAGTAAATTGAATAACCAGCGTGGAAAGCCTGAACCTGACGATTTGCTTTGTGCGTTGCTCATTTTTTTGTGATTTTTAAATGTTAGTAATTTTGATGTTTGGTATTTACTTTAATTAGTTACAAAAATGGTGGGTGGCGAAAATACATAATTATTCATTTCTGCCAAATTTTATAGCCCATCTAAATGTGATTTGTTGACAAACTTAACGAAAGGGTAGCACTTATGTTGTCTTTTATCGGCTACACTTTAATCACTTTATCGGAAAAAATTTACAAAACACCCATTTATCAAGCTGTTTGAACAGCAAACTCTTTTATTGCCTGTGCAACATATTCTACATCATTAGTTGATAAACCGGGGTATAATGGCAAGCTTAAACAGGTATTGGCTACAACATCGGCATTAGGGTAAGCACCCTCTTTAATACCTAAATAGGCATAGGCATTTTGCCTGTACACAGCCTTAGGGTAATGCGCCAGCGTTTCTATGCCTTTACCGGCAAGGTATTGCTGCAGCTGTGCGCGGTTGCTAACCCTTATTAAATAGATATGATAAACGTGCTTGCATAAGGGGTTTGTTATGGGCAATGCAATGCCCGGCAAGCTCCCCAACATAGTATTATACTGTGCAGCGATGCTAGTACGTTCATCATTCCAGGTATTAAGTAACTGTAGCTTCAGGTTTAAAAAAGCAGCCTGCAGTTCGTCTAACCTATTATTACCACCAAGGTGGGCATGCTCATTCTTTACTGTAGCTCCGTAGTTTTTAAGGTACTGTACTTTATCGTACAACGTACTATCGTTAGTAGTAACAGCACCCGCATCGCCCAAGGCACCCAGGTTTTTGGTTGGGTAAAAGCTGGTAGCGTTTATATGCCCGAATGATCCTGTCTTTTGCCCATTATATTCAGCCCCATGAGCCTGGGCGTTATCCTCAACTACATATATACTATGTCGCTGAGCAATATCTATAATAGCCTCCATGTTACAGGCCTGCCCATACAGGTGTACGGGAATAATACACTTGGTGCGTGTGGTTATCTTCTCCTCAATAAGTGCTGTATCTATAGTATAGGTATCCAACTCACAATCCACGGGGACAATGGTTGCCCCCACGTGGGTAACAGCCAGCCAGGTAGCTATATAGGTATGGGCGGGTACAATAACCTCATCTCCGGAGCCAACGCCCAATGCCTTTAAGCTTAGTATTAATGCATCAAGCCCATTGCTAACCCCACTGCAGTAGGCAGTACCTGAAAAGGCTGCATAGTTCTTCTCAAACTCGGCACAAAAGGCGCCGTTTATGTAGTTTGAGTTTTGGAATACCTGCGTCGTAAGCCCCTGAAAGGGGCCTAACAAAGGGCTGTTTACATGCTGTAAATTAAGGTATGAGATTTTATACTGTGGCATTGGCAGGTAAAAGTAGCTAAATAAAAAAGTCCCGCGTTGGCAGGACTTTTTAAATATATTAAAAAAACAGGGTTGACTATGCTACTTCTTGTACTTCCGCGGCTAACTCAGGGTCAACTAAAATACGGCCGCAGTATTCGCAAACAATAATTTTTTTGCGTAGGCGGATATCTAACTGGCGCTGTGGTGGAATTTTGTTGAAGCAACCACCGCAGGCATCGCGCTCTACCGGAACAACGGCTAAGCCGTTAAGGGCATTGCTACGAAGACGTTTGTAAGCCGTTACCAAGCGTGGCTCAATAATACCTTCTGCCTTTTTAGACTGTGCAGTTAATTCTTCTTCTTCCTTACGTGTTTCAGCAATAATCTCGTCAAGCTCGCCTTTCTTGTGGTCAAGGTCGCTTTGGCGGTCAGCTAACGTCGCTTTGGTTTCGTTTAAAAACTGAGTTTTGATATCAGCTTGGGCTTTAAACTCTTTTATACGCTTTTCAGATAGTTGTATATCCAGCGTTTGGTATTCAATTTCTTTGCTTAGTGAATCGTACTCGCGGCTATTACGAACGCTTTGTTGCTGGCCTTCGTATTTTTTAATCAGGGCTTGTGATTCTTTGATAGCATTTTTACGGTCAGAGATCTGCTCGTTCATGGTATCAAT